CTCCTGTTTCTACTGGAATTGAAGTGTCCCCAAATTTTATTACACTCAGGTATTTACATCCATCATGTGCATAGAGAAGTAGTTTCTATTATACTATTACACCCCCTGGAATGGAAAGCATTATCATTTTATGCCTTCTGTTGCATTTGTCCTGCAAACAGCATTTGACAGTCTCATGTGAGTCCAGGTAAAAATAAAAGCACAAAACATAGAATTCAAATAAAAAAACAAGAAATGTATTAACAAGAAATGTTACAGGAGGATAAAGAAAGAAACAAAGTTATGAACAGTTCAATACAATCTTTAATCTGTGAAGTACTTGCATGCCTCATGTCTATTGGAGCGAAAAGAAACATGTGTTGTCACTCCAAAAGTCAAAGGTTAAAGAGGGAGATCTTTTCAAATATCATACAGCCTGTAATTATCTTTCAGGGATCAAGGGGGTCGGGTCAGTAATCCAACACCCCAAAGTGAGAAGTAAAGCAGCTAGAGATTAAAAGACTCTGTGGAGTAGTTAATGGTGTTGGTTAGAAAAGAATCAGAAGGGTTTTTGATCAAGGTTGCGTTTTTACATTAACATTCCACTTTAAATTTGTAAAGAAAACACAAGAATGAATGACAAGAGATCAATGAAAATCAACAAGTAAAGATTTATTTAAAACAAGCATATACATATAATTCTGTTAATAACAATAAAGTTTAAGTCATACAAAGTGGTTTCCCTTGTATTGTGTAAAGGACAAATGTATGTTGTAATAATGTCTTGTTTAAATTTGTTAGTAGTTTAAGAATGTTTGATGTTTGAGTTTGAAAGTTGAAATATTTGTGCAGAAGAATGATATAGTTCGAAAATTGACTTGGCTTGTAAACAGACAGTACACTGTGTTGTGTGAGTGCAGTTTATATCTGTGTGTGTTTGTGTGTAGAACATTGAATATACACGTACGTGGTTTAGGTTGTGAAAATTTATAATCTACTGAAGTTATTTCTTTAATTTCTGCTTTATATAGATGTAAGGTGGCTCCCAGAACGAACGCGGGAAAGATATTGAAGAAAGTGTCATTTAATGTGATTGGCCAAAAATCGACCAATCGTTGATTTTTTTTCTATAGCTAGTCTGGTGAAGCAAAAACACGAGAAATTATTATGTGGCTCTTGCGATGCGTAAATTGTCTGTACAAAAGGTATTGTTTATTTTCCGTCCAATTACTGTTGAGTAATTTGTGGGCGTGGTGTACATAGGCGTCCACTACAACTCACCAAAAATGACATAGCCGGTTATCAAAGACAGCATGCTTCTTTGTATTTCCCTCTTACTTGTAAAATATAAGTCATGGCATTTCCTAAAATGTATAAACATTCTCTATAGTGAACTTATCTCCATTGTGACAAACATTTCAAACAATAAGTACATTTACTATGAAAGGATATATCCCACCCCAGAAAATTAACATTCTCACATCTTTACATACAAAACATTTGCTGTAAATTTCTACATTGCTTTATTTGCAAATTCATCATTTACCAATTACTACTTCTATATTGTAGGAGGGTCGACTGAAAAATTTAATCAGATTATCAAGATATAAATGGAAGTGTACACACCAGTTAGTAGACTAAAAGAAAAGCAAATGTACCAGAATACAACAGCTAGTTGGCCCCAGTATAATGGATATGCAGTATCAAAAATCAGGCAACAAATTATTTCCTAGAAATTGCTTACTCGGGTTATCGTCGTTTGGTGCAAGGCCACAAATATTGAGCACACAGTAAGGACTAAACGCACAACCAATATCCTACAAATCCAACTTGCAAGGTATTTTTATCACGATGGGTTACACAGATTTCTTCCATGGGATCATTGAAAGATTATAATTGTAAGGGAAATAACTCGTACACAGAGTTTGCCTAAAAATGTTATTTATTTATTAATTTTGTTTTAGATGTCCTTGATGGAATTAATTAAAATTATGCGATTTTTATTCCAATTTCTTTTTAAGAGAAAAAAAAAGCGTGAAATTTGAAATTTTGAATATTAATTTCCCTTTGTTTTTTCTCAGCATGTCGAAGAAATTCAAATTTCAATGAATGAATTTTAAATTTCTCATTGTCAGTAAAATAAATAAATAAAGAATACGTTTCATTATTTGTTAGCACCTCGATATTGCGTCATGTTCGTTAGCAACGTGGGTGCGCTGAAAATAATTCATTTGTTTGCACAAATGTATTGTGTTATAATGGATTACGACGTTGCGTTATCGTTTGGGGCTTTCTTTACAGAGCGGGAAAAAAGCCGGAACGATGATTCATTTTTGTTGTGTTCGTAGTTAACAAAATAAACACCAACACAATGATCATACAAATGCAAGGAGTGACAGGACAATTACATTTCTAAAAGTGTAAGTGAAGTAATAAAATTGCAAACGGAAATTTCTTCTTTTTCATATACAGGTGCGATGAATAAATTGTCGTCTAAAATGACGCCAAAAATGAAAAAAAA